TGAGTCAGCCCCGGGGAGGGGGGAAGGGGCAGAGCTCAGGCAGCACCAAAAATGCTTTATTGAGCAATAAATAAACCTGAATGACGAGAGGGGAGGGGCAGGGGGGGACAGGAGGGGATGGGAAGGACAAAGTGGACACCAAGGGGTTGGGGACACTGCTGGGGGCAGTGTCAGCACAGGGTCAAGGCCACCACTGAGGTCAAGGTCACCATGGGGTCAGGGTCAGCACAGGGTTGGGGCACTGCTGGGGTCAGTGGCACTGCCAGGGTCCAATGTCACTGCTGAGGTCAAGGCCACATGCAGTCCCCAGTGTCCCCACATATCCAGTGCTCCTGGTGTCACTGGTGTCCCCAACACCCCCAGTGTCACTGGTGTCCCCATGTCTTTGGTGTCCTCACATCTCCAGTGTCCTCGATGTTCCTGATGTCCTCAATGGCTCCAACGTGTCCCCAGTGTGCCTGATGTCCTCGGTGTCCCCATGTCTTTAGTGACCTCACATCTCCAGTGTCCTCGGTGTACCTGATGTCCTCAATGGCTCCAACGTGTCCCCAGTGTCCCTGATGTCCTCGGTGTCCCCATGTCTTTAGTGTCCTCACATCTCCAGTGTCCTCGATGGCTCCAATGTGCCTCCAGTGTCCCTGATGTCCTCAGTGTCCCCATGTCTTTGGTGTCCTCACATCTCCAATGTCCTCAGTGTACCTGATGTCCTCGATGGCTCCAATGTGTCCCCAGTGTCCCTGATGTCCTCGGTGTCCCCATGTCTTTGGTGTACTCACATCTCCACTGTCCTCGATGGCTCCAATGTGTCCCCAGTGTCCCTGGTGTCCTTGGTGTCCCCATGTCTTTAGTGTCCTCGCATCTCCAGTGTCCTCGATGGCTCCAATGTGCCTCCAGTGTCCCTGATGTCCTCAGTGTCCCCATGTCTTTGGTGTCCTCACATCTCCAATGTCCTCAGTGTACCTGATGTCCTCGATGGCTCCAATGTGTCCCCAGTGTCCCTGATGTCCTCGGTGTCCCCATGTCATTGGTGTCCTCACGTCTCCAATGTCCCCAGTGTCCCTGGTGTCCCCACACCCCAGTGTCACCGCAGCAGGAAGCGCAGGCTGATGGGGGTGGCAGGTGCCAGCAGAGTGCGAGTCATGGGACGCACGGGGTCCTCCCCGGGCTCTGGCTGCACCTCGAACCGTAGCAGGATCTGGGGGGGACAAGGACAGGTGAGGGACACAAGGGGGGACAGCAGGGACACGTGAGGACACCAGGGACACTCACCTGTGCCAGTGCCATGTGCAGCTGCAGCTCGGCCAAGCGTCGCCCGACGCAGCTGCGAGGGCCCAGGCCGAAGGGCAGAGAGGCAAAGGGGTGTCCACAGGTGTCACTGGTGTCCTCAGGGGTGACCCCGCGGCACAGCCACCGCTCCGGGCGGAAGGTGTCAGGCGCAGAGAAGAAGTGGCTGTCACGGGAGGTGGCGTAGTGGCAGAGGGTGATGAGGGTCTGGGGGGACACAGGGGTCAGAGGGGACACCCTAGGGACAGCCTGGGACACCCAGGGCCCCCCCAGGTGTCCCCCCCTTACCTGACGTGGCACCAAGTAGTCACCGACGCGGATGTCGCGGTCAGGGATGACTCGAGCGTTGTCAGGAATGACAGGGTACAGCCTGGGGGGACACAGGTGTCACCTCCCTGGCCTTGGCCCTGACTGCATCCTCACCCCCAGCTTCATCGCCATCCCTGCCCCATCTCTGTCCCTGTCCCCATCTTCATCCCTTCCTTGTCCTCTCGCTGTCCTTGTCCCCATCCTCGACTCACTCCATCCATGTCCCCATCCCCATCTTCATCCCCACCATTCCCATATCCCTCCTCATCCCCATCCCTATCCCATTTCTATCTCCACCCCGGTCCCCATTTTCATCCACACCCCTGTCTCTACCTTCATCCACACCCCTCTTCCCATCCGTGTCCCCATGTCCTCATCCTTGTCCCCATGTCCCCATTCCCATGTCCTTTCCATGTCCCATTACCGTCCCTGTGTCCCCTTCCCCACATTCCCATCTCCCCATGTTCCTGTCCCATTCTCACGTCCCTCCCCATGTTCCTGTCCCATTCTCACGTCCCTCCCCATGTCCCTTTCACCTGAGCGTCTCCTTCACCACGGCCCGCAGCAGTGGCAGCTGTCGCAGCGCGGTGGCGGTGGCCGCGGCGGTGGCGCTGTCCATGGTGGCTCTGTCCGTGGTGGCTCTGTCCCCGCTGGGGACAGCGCTGGTGGCAGTGGCAGTCAGCAGCTCGCGGTGCAGGGCCACCTGCACCCCCGGGTGCCGTGCCAGCTCGTACAGACTCCAGGCCAGTGTGCTGGCCACCTGGGGACACAGGGACATCAGCGGGACCCTCGGGGACAACAGGGACCCCCGCGTGACCCGCATCCCCTCTCACCGTGTCCACCCCTGCCAGCAGCAGCTCGGTGACATTGCCGTAGATGCTGCTCAGAGGGAAGTGCTCCCTGGCCAGCAGGTCGGTGACACAAGTGTCCCCCTCGGGCGCTGTCCCTCGCGCGGCCACCGCGGCCAAGCGCTGGTCCACGTGTGTCTTGGCTGGGGACAATGACACCTTGTCAGTGTCACCGTGGCCAAGTGACAATCACGCCCAGCAGTGCCACCAGTGTCCCTGTGCTGTTCCCCTGTGGTGTCCTGTGTCCCCCCATGTTCCTCACTGAAGATGTCATCGTGGCCATGGGATGTCGTGGTGTCCCCCATGTCCCTCACTGAAGGTGTCACCGTGGCCATGGGACGTCATGGTGTCCCCGTGTCCCTCACTGAAGGTGTCACCGTGGCCACGGGACGTCGTGTTGTCCCCATGTCCCTTACTGAAGGTGTCACCGTGGCCATGGGATGTCATGGTGTCCCCCATGTCCCTCACTGAAGGTGTCATCGTGGCCATGGGACATCAGGGATGTCGTGTTGTCCCCCATGTCCCTCACTGAAGGTGTCACCGTGACTATGGGATATTGTGGTGTCCCCATGTCCCTCACTGAAGGTCAACATGTGTGTCACTAAGGCCATGGGACATCCCCCTGTCCCTGGTGGATGTCTCTGTGTCCCACTCGTGACCCCGTGGGATGTCTTGGTGTCCCTGTGGGATGGTCCCATGTCCTCGTGCGATGTCCTCATGTTGTCCCCCCATGACCTCATGTCCCCTCACCAAAGCTGGTCCCAGACACGGCCATGGGATGTCCCTGTGTCCCCAGGATGTCCCCATGCATCCCCCCATCCCCTGTCCCTCACCGAAGGCGAAGAGGTGGTCCCAGGCACGGCAGAACGCGTCCCATGGTGCGGGCACGAGGCGCAGGAGGGGCCGTGGCAGTGCCATCGTCACCAGCGTCAGGGCCAGCACTGCCCCCACACACTGGATCACCCCTTCGGTGGCCTCCGTGGCCTCAGGGTCCCTCCTGTCCCCCAGGCAGCCCAGGCGGGAGGAGAACAGGACCCAGGAGATGGCTGAGGAGACAGGGGGATGTTGGGGACACTGGGGACACTGGCACGTGGGGGACATAGGGGACAAGGCGAGCCCTGGGGACATGGGGAGCCCTTGGGGGTACTCAGCAAGCCTTGGGGGACACGTGGAAGGTCCCTGTGGGGCTTTCCCAGCCCTGAAGGTGTTTCAGGACTTCGAGGGGACATGGGGAGCTCAGGATGGGGGAAGGAGACACAGGAGGCCATTTGGGGGGATCCAGGGGTCCCTGGGGAGATCCAGCTCTCTCAGGGAGTCCCATCCATTTCCCATCATTTTGGGGGGATCCCTTTCACTCCCATCTCTTTCCCAGCCCTTTGGGTGAGGGTTTCCAGCCCGTTCCCAGCCCTTTGGGGGAGTCTCAAACCCTTGGGAGGGTTTCCAGCCCTTTCCCAGCCCTTTGGGGGAGTCTCAAAACTTTGGGAGGGATTCCAGCCCTTTCCCAGCCCTTTGGGG